AACTCATCGTTGATAACTGATAACGAGGAGTAATTAATAATAAACGTTATTTAGGCGTATTTGTATATGTAGTCGTATTAACGTAACGTGACTACATAGAAGTTCATCTAGAGTTATCTTAAAACAAAGCGACCCTATTAATATAGAATACAATCACAACATTGATCTAATAGTATTAAATTTCTTTTCCTTGAGAAAATACATTTATGGAACGTACTTATTGACGCTATTACCCATCTATAGTCTGCATGTATCTGTAATGACAGTTATTAAGATATGCCGATAGTATTTCTTAAAGCCTTTGTAACGAAAACAGTTGCTCAGATTTATGTGATTTATTCCAAACCTAAGCACGTTTCCTTTCTTTCGTGACTTAGTATTTCTCTATTCAGTTGCTTGCTCTTTTAGTGACGACGTTGAGTATCTGTATTGAATTATTTCCTACTGTCTCCAGTGGGATTTTACTAGGCTCGAAATGAATCACTTCAAAGTAACAGATACTTTGAAATGAGTACATGTCACAGAGCGTGTAAATCCAAGAAAGACTGTTATGATATTGCAACAGAGATAAGCAAGATAAGATGCTTAAATATCTCGAATTCCTAATGGAGATCAATTATCATCTTCCCAACACTGTTCACATACATCAACACCGAGTCTTTACTCGGAGTTGATAACAGCTCCAGCTCTCACGTATAAATGGACTTTAACCTCGACAGAGTCTTTCTGTTTTGTTACTAGTTTGTAATGAAATAATGGGATACACTCAGTTTACGTCCCATTTCATTTGGTTTACGCAACAAAACTCAAATGTTTAGCTCAGAATTGTTCTATGACTTTACAGCTTTATTTCAACTGAGAGCAACCAATTTCACGTGAGATTTAAATACGGTTCACGAAAACTACGGCGCCGTTTCAATTTCTACACGCTCTTTATCTACAAATATTTATTTATTTATTTATTTTTATTTGCTATTAAACACAATAGTAGGCTAGAAGAAGAGTTTCAAAACAACGTCTAAATTATAACTACTAGAGAATTTAAAAAAAAATACTTACTTAATTATATGATAAAATAACCAAAATGATGGATTACCAAAAGAAGACATAATTCATAGCAAGTATTTAATTAGTGGACAATATATATATGTATATATACCATCCTTGGAATAGTACTATATATATATATATACCATATTGGAATAGTACTATATATATGTATATTTACCATCCTTGGAATAGTACTATATATATATATACCATCTTGGAATAGTACTATATATATATATATATACCATCCTTGGAATAGTACTATATATATATGTATAAGGGGGGCATTTAATTAGTACCAATGAATAGAAAATTGCATTTTCTTAGAGAGGAATACTGATAAAAATATTAAAATAAACTTTACGTAATAATTTGAAAATTGCCAGTTTACTTATGTATATAAAGTTGATTAGTATTATAAAATATTTATATTTACATCTGTATATATTACAAGAGATTGTTTGTTTGTAATTAAGCACAAAGCTACACAATGAGCTTCCTGTGATCTGCCCACAAACGTATCGAAACCCGGTTTTTAGGGTTGTAAGTCCGCATACATACCGCTATGCCACTGGGATGCGTACGAGAGAAGAAGAGAGGAAATGTGTATGTTTGTATTTGAATCAAGAAATTGGATATGACAAAATAATTGAAGATGCTATAACATGATCCTATAACATGATGCTATAACATGATCCTATGTGATTGCTTTTACAGTAGAAAGTACACAACGTAATGAAAGTTATATCAATATTTTTCCTTCACTAGAATTGACTTCTGTTCAATTTGAGTAAGCCAGTAATACAAGCTTAGTTTAACATGTTTAAAGTCTAGAATGAAATCTAAACCGATACATTGTGATAGTAATAAAAAAGTGGAGTAACATTCATATATATATACAGTACTATTCCAAGGATGGTATACATATACACATATATAGTACTATTCCAAAATGGTATACATACATATATATAATACTATTCCAAGGATGATATATATATACATATATAAGTACTATTCCAAGATGGTATATATACATATATATAATACTATTCCAAGAAGGTATATATATACATATATACTGTAATATTCCAATGATGGTGTATACACACACACACACACACACACATATATATATATATATATTTATATAGTGAATCGCCTAATGAAGAAAAATTACAGGTAAGTTAACTTTTATTCTTAGTTAGTTTGTATTTACAAAATAAACGAAAACTAGTTCAATACTATAAGCGTTCAAAATCTCACGAAATACAATGGATCTCTTCTTTTTTTCATTTATAAAAATAGACAATTTACGCTTCTTTAAACTTTCGCATTCAATTTCATAAGTAAGGTATTTATTTGGCAAGTACTAAAATGATATTATTTTATTTGTTAAGGAAAAGGGAAATACAATAAGTATTTTTGGAATATAATAATGAGACTATTATATTTTCCTTTAAGGACATAGACACGATTGTGAGTGATAATATACTAACAGCTTACAATGATATAACAACAGTAAGTACATTTGTCGCTAGACTGTTAACCTCTGTATGGTTATTCCATTCAGTGACTCCCCAAGTGGCACAGCGGCATGTCTGCGGACTTACAACGCTTGGAACCGGGTTTCGATACCCGTGGTGGTCAGAGCACAGATAGCCCATTGTGTAGCTTTGTGCTTAACTTTAAACAACCAAATCAATCAGTGAATTGATACGGGCAATAACAATATATATATGTTTAGTGAGTTACTTATCTCAATATAAAAGTTTCTAAATGCGATTAATCTACTGTAATGGAAATATATAAATGTTTTAAAAGGCAATAAGTGCTGATGTTTTATTTTACCCGCTAAAATATAAAAAATTAATGCAGTAATTGAATGCATTTTATAGAAATATTCTCTTTTCATAACTTCTACCGTTTATTAGTAGTAAGTACATTACTTTGGTGAGTTTAATGTCGTTCACAATTCACCAAATTCTGGAGCAAAATGGAAAAAAAATAAGGGTTTTGAGTGATATTTATTTCCACAAATTCATCTGCTTTGGATCAATTTTGAGGGGTTCTTCCTTTTGCCAGTCATGTTTTTTGTTTGTTTGCAACGATTTTATCGTCCTTCGTCAACATATACTATTTATAATAAATAGGGGTCGTTAATGTGATCAGAAACATAGATTGTTGATAAACGTATTATAGAAATATTGTGATAATGTGTTTGTATATGAGCATTTCATAATGAAAAATAACACATTTATGAACTGAACTTCTTGGCAAACAGTAGGTGGAATAGGTGAGTTTACCTACAACGGGATATATATTTCTGAATTATTGCACTTCGCTAAAATTCTATAGACAAATAAGTGTTTTTTTGGCCAACAAAGGCATAGGCTAACATCCATCAGTGTTTGCCTATATTCAAAAATATTTCGTCTTTAATTATTTTCCTGGATATTCTTCCTTTTTTTTTCTTAAATTTCGACCGTCCAGAATGATCACTTGTAAAATTAAGTAAAAAGTACCTGACTTGTTTATATAGTATATATATATATATATATATATATATAGTAGTTATATATATATATATTAGTTTTGATAGTTAGAAGAGAGGATGGACTGGGGAGTATCAACATCTGCAAATAGTTGTGCCTGTAATTTAATATCCAAGAACCACGGTACAAAACCGAGAAAATGGCACATTGAGGACAGGCATGTACAGGCAGGACAAAACTACGGACACTAGAGTTTTACAACAGTTGACTGTACACATAGGAATGGTGTTTTCAATGGAAGACGTTCAAACTTCATTCTTTAGTTTTATCGCAACATATAAGACTTGCATATACGTTTCGAATCTTATAAAAAGTGTACTTTCACTGTATGAATCCTAATCTACCTCAACTACCTTTCTACTTAAAATACAGTTTACTACCAGCAACTGTATTTCTAGTTTTATTTGCATATTCGAACATATTTATATACATGTATGATGATTATGCTCTTATGAGCAGCAACTGTCTGTTGAAAAAAAAAACAGAAGTGGAAAGGAGGACGTTTCGAAAGTCTTCCGCCGTCATTTCAACATTTTTTTTTTATTTCATTTCGTGAACGTTCTGTTTTAAAATTCTGCTGTTGGAAATTCGCAATTATTGTAGTTATGTACAATACTATGTGTATTATATAACTGGCAAATGTACAGAAGATTTTCTCATTTATCAACAAATTAATTAAAGTAATACTATGATAATACGACCTGTATTAAATCGTTTTAAAATATGCCATCAAACGTAGGAGTTATTAAAAAGGGAACAACGACACGTTTAAGTTACAATGATGCCATGTTGTGTGTTTGTTTTACCTTGTTTGTTTGTTCACCTGAATTGCACTTTATACTGCCAATGGGTTAAACAGCCAGATCAGAGACCCTATGGTCACTAATTTCGAATTGAGGACCAGAAAGAGGGTAACCAGTCGGCAACACTCGCCGCCTGAAGCCACAACCTTCACTCGAATAGCGAGATTGACTGTCACTCTTATAACGCACCCATAATTGGTGGTATGAAACGTGTTCGATATCACCACATCTCGGATCCCCAGCCAATTTAGCTAATCGGCGTAGGCCACGTTTCTCACTTCCACCCCCACCCCCCACTGCAATCCGTAGAAGTTATTTTTGTATAAAAAAGTACAATTAGTTCATAATTTGTAATTACAGAAATGATATACTTGTAAGTCAAAATTTTGCGGTATATCTCTGTTTAACATTATCATATCATCTTATCTCCGTTTAGTTTAATTTACCCTATACAACAAACTTATCATGAAATATAATTGTTTGCAGCATTTTTCCCTCCTTTAAGAATTTTGTTTTACTTAAGTTATTACATGTAAATTGATACTACATTTTTCGTTTGTTCGTTTATATATATATATATATATATTTTTAGAAGCCGAGTTTAAGGTCACAGGTCTGGTTGGAGAGAAGGTTGATCTTCCTTGTAATGTGGATGTAGGATCTTGTGGAGATGTATATTTCGTAACATGGACTAAAAACGTCTCCAACGAATGGAAACGCCTGTATCTGTACAGTGAACCCGTGGAGAAACCACTACAGGAGCTGGCCAATCCGGATAGAGCGGACTTTTTCGTCCATGATTCTACAGCCTATCTTAGGATATCTCCTTTAAAAATTGAAGATGAAGGAAATTACAAATGTGACGTCACTTATGTTCAAGGAAAATGTCCTTCCTTGTCGTATGCTTTCCTAAAAGCAGTAGGTAAGTATTTATCATTTATCAATCAGAGTATGATAAATGCTAGTGAGTTTATTTTAGGAAAAGCTTAAAAACTTAATATGTATGCTAGTTATGTTGTAATGTTAAAACTAAAGTGTCCTTATGATTTAGCTACGGTTGATATAAATCTCATATCTCTTAATTATAATCGCTAAACACTCACATTCAAATGTGAATGTTATTTGAACAATTTTTAAGGAGCTAAAGTACTAAAATAATAAAGCTAAGTTCAAACTATATTAAATCAAATAGGAAATTAACTCCTATTTGTGATACTCTTTATTGAATAAAACTTTAATTAAGAAGTCAAAGTGAACTTCACATTACTCAAAACAGGTTATTACAGAGGTGAGGTGACCGTTACACTTACCTAAGATAATAATATTTGTGACCTCGTGATATTTGTCTTAGAACTACTTTGAATTCTATATTTCAGCAATAACCAATCCTCAAAAAATGAACGTTCAAATGTAGGGCGAAGTTGAAGTTTTTGGTGTTTTTATTGAGCATTTAGTGACCCGAAAGATAACTTCAAAATAATTTTATTATATATGAACTAGGCTTAAATACATCTTTTCTGTGTTTACACGTATTCGGATGCAGGTAATATGAGACTTAAATCCCGAAGACATTCTAATTTTCATATTTGTATATAACCTGATTGTGAAGCTTCGAGTTTATGATGCAATTTTTATTAATTCTAGCTACTGATATTTTATAGAATAAACATTATTTTGTACAGAACAAAAACATTTTTAAATACGTTATTGCGTTCGTCCTTATTTCACAATCTCCCGGTGGGACAGCGGTAAGTTTACGAACACACCTCAATATGGCTTTGATTTAAAACAAACACATTTATTTCACATTTATACATATACAGACACAAACAATCGGCGAAAATACCAACACATTACTCTCCTTCAGCATGTAATATACACATTGTGTCTTGTGAAAATATAATAATTGGTTATCGAAGCTTCTTAAGTAACAACCATATAACACGCTCTCTTTCACACACACGAATCAGTGGTAAGCTTACGACTTACAGTGCTAAAATCCGGGATTCAATTCCTTACGGTGAATAGATTGCACTTAGCCCATTGTAGCTTTGCATTAAAAAAAACAGCTTGTAGCATATAGATCTTTTTGTTTGTTCTCTCAGGTACTGAGAATAATATAAACAACATATTATCCAACACGTGGACAACGTGGCTCAGTGTCTTTACACTTTGGACTCCTAGTGGAATGGTTGCGAGTTCGAGCCTCTCTTGCGACATGCCTTTGTGACCTTGAGCAAAGCGCTTTACTCCAATTGTTTCGGTTTACCCAGCTATCTAATGGATACCAACTGTTAGTTTGGGGTTAACCTGAGACGGAGTGGCATAACGTCCAGGGCAAATGTATCACCATTCTCATCCACTTGTGCCAATTAGCGCTGGCTACTTTACTCCAATTGTTTCAGTTTACCCCGCTATCTAATGGATACCAACTGTTAGTTTGGGGTTAACCTGAGACGGAGTGGCATAACGTCCAGGGGAAATGTATCACTATTCTCATCCACCTGTGCCAATTAGCGCTGGCTACTTTACTCCAATTGTTTCGGTTTACCCAGCTATCTGGTGGGTACCAGCCATTAGTTTGGGGTTAACCTGCCAATTCATCACTGGATCTTATGTGTCATATCGACATATGATGGATTTGACCTTTATACTGTCCAATATGGAGCAAAAGTATGGGTCGTTAACATACAGTGATACAACAATTTTTTGTCATTATTACAACTTGAAATTTAAGCGTGAGAGACTAAACTTTCATAATATGAATATGGATTGTAAGCCATAACACAATTCGGTATTTTTGGATAACATGTGAAATAATTTCAAAGGTAGTTGTTTGAGTTAATATTCAAATTTTCTTAGCTAAACTTGATCTCCCGAAATAGAATATACTTTTCAAGCTCTGGGTGGAATGGCTAAATTTAATAGCTGCTGTTAAATTCCAACTATTCCAATAACTGGTAATGCTGTCAGTTGGAAGCAATAAGTGCCTTAATTTATTAGTTTACCTTCGATAAATCTATAAATTTGCAATGGGATGTTTAGATTGTAATTGTGCATGTTTTTATAAAGTATATAGTAATAGCTAAATATCTAAATATATAATTTAAGCCTCGTGGTTTACCTACTTAAAATCCTGATAATTTTCTAGTTAGAATTATCCATCTTTCAGTTCCTAATTCTGCCGTTCTAGTTTCATTCATAAATAAATACTTTTATGATATACAAACACACACACACACACACACTAAAATGAACAGAATACATTATCGATTATTGCTCTTTAAACAAAAGAACATTTAATCTCATTCATGTTCATCGTTTCATCTTTTATAAAGAAGATTAGGTAATGTTCTAAATCACTACCTGGAGCTTGCTTCCTGTAGTAATTAATCTTCTGTTAGTTCGTTCGTGTTTCTAAAGGAACGTTTCTTTAACATTATATGGTATCTATAATAAAGTTTACGTACCTCTCTCAGTTGTAATCCATCATTCACTACTTTTATCTGTATCTGTTGAATATAACTATGAATTTCGAGCAATGAAACATAAAATAAGATATGTATTTTGAAGTACAGATTTATTTTAGACTTACACATGAATTGGTTCCTATGAAAAGCTAGGAAGTAAGTATTCCATCTAAGTATGTACTATTTTCTAATTATGTTTACAATGTTTTGTAATGAAAGCTTAAATACTCAAAGTGTTTACTTTAGTATTTAAATTATATTTACTAATATTCACTTTATATTTTGTATTAATAATCTGCTCGCTCTTTCAGTGGGTTTCAGGTTTTACTGGAATAATTACTTACGTTTTAATGCTTTTCTTAGTCATAAAAGGCTACTAAAGGACCATACTCAGTACTTTTCAGCTAAAATTCAGGGCAGGGCTACAACTCTGAATCTCTTATTTAATAGGCCCGGCATGGCCAGGTGGTTAGGGAGCTCGACTCGCAGTCTG